CATCAAACTCCTCACCCCATCTTGTAGGAATAGTATCTTGGGCATAAGGTCTAGCAGTCGCATGACCGACATAATAATCAAACTTGCCACTTAGCTCTCTTAATGTTCCAATAGTGGGGTTCCCTTACTTGTACCAATGCTTGGATGCCTTCTTATTCATCAATTTCCTTTTGGGAAAGACAATTCAATCAAGGACTTTAGGGCGAATCGTCTAACCAGCACACTTGGTATTGTCGATGTAACTCGGACGATGATTATAGTCTTGACCTTGACCTGGAAATTGTCCTTGTCGTCCCTTTTCTTTAGGTCGGATGTAAAAAACTTGACCCATCTCTTGTCTTTATCGAGCACATAAATTCAATTGTTGTGGCTTTTTCCCTTTGAATTTGATAGATACCATTCCAGTTATTTGAGGAAAAGGATCGGCATCCATCTCCATGGCAGCTTTCCCTTTTGTTGTTGGCAAACTTGATTTTACCTTGCCAATTGCCACCTGAATATTTTTCTTGAAAATAGTATAATCAACGGCAAAAGAATACTACAAGTGTCATAACTTGTGTACGGCGCTCACTTTAGTGCCATAACTTTTTTTTGGATCACTTTAGTGCTAAAATTTTTGAAAAATGATCACTTAAGTGCTAAAATTTTTGAAAAACGATCACTTAAGTGCCAACTCCGGTGCCGTACACAATTTTTCGCCGGAAATCTGACGTGACATTTTTTTATTAATTTCTGAAGCTGACGTGGCTCGCCGGAGTCTCGCCGGAGATTAGCACTTAAGTGATCGTTTTTCAAAAATTTTAACACTTAAATGATCGTTTTTCAAAAATTTTAGCACTTAAGTGATCGTTTTTCAAAAATTTTAGCACTGAAGTGATCCAAAAAAAAGTTATGACACTTAAGTGATCGTTTTTCCTCCGACTTGGCACCAAAGTGATCCGAAAAAAAGTTATGGCACCAAAGCGAGCGCCATACACAAGTTATGGCACTTATAGTGTCCTTTTGCCTATAATCAACAGTGTTATTCATGGCTCCATGAGTGGTGCCATTTGCAATAAATTTTATATGTCAATCTTCCTTGCTTGTTATAGTTTGGCTTTCAGTCAATTTTATCAAGCCATCTCCCAAGAGCAAGTTGAAAATTTCATTCGTTTGTTAACATTGAATGAATAATGCTAAGTGTATTTTGCTTTGGCCATGACAGTTCATTTAAACTTCTCTCTAACTTTGGCCGACTTCAATGCTTGACAAACGTACAGTTTATCGATAGTCATTTTAGCAGCAGCAATTTAAGCGCTTTCTCCTTGATCTATTTCGTTCTCATATTCATATTTCTCTACGATGGTTACATCATGCTTGGAATCCCTGTATGACTTTTTATCTTTTTCCTTCAATAGGTTTTCATGCCCGATTGCCTTCATTGTTATTTGGAAAGAGGTCATTATATGGCTGACCTTCCAATCCCTCTCTCAAAGCAAATTTCAAGCTATTGAAAGCTATATCAGCAAAAGATTTCTTTGGTAATGATATAAGGCATCGATTTCTTGATCTCTTGAATCTAGTCATAAACTGGTCTACCAATTCATTTTTTGGTTGCTTAATACCAGCTAGATGTGCAATAAACACATTAAAGATTGACCTATAAAACGGTTTATGGAATTGTGTTTCTATTTGTTCCCAAGTATGAACAGAATTGGATGGTAGAGTAGTTTACCAAGTAAAAGAAGTCTTGGACAATGTTAAAGAGAACAATCTTAACTTTCAAAAATCAGCTTGAGCCGCATCACCACATTGTGTAGTGAATCGACTAACATGTTTGACTATCGATTGATCATCTTTACAAGAGAAAAGAGTACAATCGAGCATTTTGAAACCTCTAAGATAGGGCACTAGGTCGCTCTACCCTAAATAAAATTTTCTATATTCAAGCCTAATATTTTCCCCATCATATTCCGAGCGTTGTACTGCTCTGTCAACTAACAACTGAACATACCGAGGGTCTTGGTAGGGACAACTTGCCTAGGCTAACCCTAGGCAAGTGTGGTGGTCTAACCTAATTATCAACTACCATATTGGCCTTTAAGGAATGTACCCCAGGTTAGGCAGAGTTATTGCTCATCCTAAGGGTCTTTGACCATCTTGCCCCCTAGCTGGAGACAATGACCTACCTTGGTTGTCGATCGCAGCATTAAGCCTGTGGGGTAGGTGTTATGTTAGGTTGAGGTGCTATCCCAACAGGCATTGTCTTATTGACATGAGGCATTGGCTCAACCGATTATATATTTTCTACATTTGTCAATGGTATATTCTGCTATGCATTCAGATTCACTAAATTGCCATTATTATTCCCACCTTAGTTAACTAGAGCAGAGTTAGATATGTTACCTCCACCAACAGATACAACCGTTGTTCTAGGTCACACTAATGGTTTCAGGCATTTGTAAAATCATAACCGGTGGTGGTAGTGGAATTATTAGTCCTACGGTGAGCAGACGTAGATGAAGGAATATACTCGATAAGCTCAGGATCCACGTCCATCTAAATCGACTGGCTTGATGATCCAGGCTTAGACGCAACTTCATGAATGGCATTGATAATCATAGCTTAACACATCAATAAGATGCTTCATCAAATGGCTGGTCAGGTCATTCCGTTGTTCCTCAAACATCCTTCTCATGGCAGCCAATAATACAAAGCTAGGCTTCGACTGCTTTCTTTGCTTGTCATTGAGTTGTCTTGGAACGTTGACAGCATTGTTAGGATCTGGTTGATTCCTTGTTCTAGCTATTATACTTCCTCAAATCAACCACACAGGTCCTACTAGGAGTGTGAAAAAGATGTTTCAGTGGAATTCGACTCCGCAACGAAATACATTTTATCGAAAGTCGTTCTTCAGTTTTAATTAGAGGAGACTGATACTATGGCAATTTCGAACAGGAAATATCACAAGTAGACAAGGGAATCAACTAACTTCACTTCAAACAAAATTAAACATATGCAAATTGTACCGGAATTTAATCGGCGATAAAGCCTAAGAATGTAATTACTTCAAACGGAACCAAACGTACACAAATTGTACCGGAATTTGATTGACGAGAAAGCCTAGGAACATAAAGATGCAACTTCGAAATTTAATCGACAAGATAAATATGAAAATTGTAACTATAGTGCAGGATTTTAAAGCATATTTGTTTGTTTATATGCGGGGGAGGGGGGGTTGGGGTTTTCCAGTAGTTGAGGACTAGGTGGCAGTTCTTCTGGAGTTTTAGCCATGCTTCATATCTTTGAGAATCTTAATCCCATGTTCCCATGATGCCACGTTCTTACATTCAGTTAGTTACTCCTTTAAATTGCGTCTTGATCTTCCGCCTTTATCTCTTCTCCATGATCTATTGGACTGTATTGCTCTTTCCACAAGTGATTTCATATTAGAATATTATAACTATTTCTTGGCACCCTTCATACATCTAATCTTTGTTCAGTATCTCAATCAATAACTAATCATTCCTACCGGCATCCTTGCCAATTAGTTTCGCTATGACAATCGTCAACCATATGCTATCGTATATCAACAACTAATCTATGGTCATCGATGCATATTAATATCGACCACTCTTTCGGTGGACAATAATGGATCATTATGTAGTATCGATAATCATTTATCTTCTAGCCATGTGTTTACTCATGTTGATGATAAATTTTGGTGCAAACACTATGTTTTTCAATAGACTTAAATAACCCATAACTAATTTGATCCCTGTGCTATTATTTTGACATACTACTTGTTAAGCTTTTCTCCTAATTTTTACGATGTTAAGAATAAAATTTGAAACACAAAATTTATTTTGGGAGCATGCAAATCACCAAGGGAAAGCCCAAGTCAGAGCTTGTTAACTATTCAATTTGACCCATTTTCACTTAACAGTTTAAGCCAATGAGTTATGGACCAACTAGGATACGTTAACTGCTCAACTCCACACCAATTCTCTAATATGGGACTTCTTTAATATAATTCATATGTGCATCTCAATAGTTTACATGAAAAGATATACTCTCAATAAGTAAACAAGATGGCAAATCACTTCTTCAAGAAAAAGGTCTGTAAACATATCAATATTTTGTTAGAACAATTTTGAAACAAAGTACAATCCCAGAACTTGCTTTAAAACACTGAAAATAACAAACGAGACATTACCAGCAACAATCAAGCTAGTTGATATTGTGGCTTACTGTGTTCCTATTCCAATCCGGCATTCTTATGGCTGACGCACAAACATTTTGTTGTTACTCTATCCCCTTTATTATGCCGTCTTCCAAGCCCTTCTTCCAGATAATTGAGTGTAACCACAGCATGTTGAGAAGCTCTATGATAACTTTCAAGTTGTTGGGCCACTTCAAGCAATTTGCGTGAGTCAACCATCTCAAGATCTTCGGGTGATTTATGATTATTATTGATGCCCATATTTTCCAGCTCAAATGCGTGTTCAAGTAGAAACTTTACTAGTGTGAACACATCGTCATCTTTGAATCGTACACAAGCATAAAATCCAAAAATCTCAACATTCTTGAGATGACGAGCAGAACACTTGAATTTCTTCTTTATATGCCAATAGCTCTCAGGATCAACATTGTTGGAGTCTAAGTTAGAATTATACTGCACACAGAGAAAAGACAAAGTGAACCTTCCAACTAAAACATGATTTAGTTTCCACGATTTAATGTTCTAATCACCCTTAAGAATAATCATCCCTTGTCAAACAGATCTTTAAGCTACAGTAATCAGATTAGAAGAGATCATAAACAAGGTAAACCAGAACTTGGGCACTCAAGTTCATCAATGCAAGTGCAATCTTCCCATTGTCACTATGACAGTGGCCTTCACAAAAGAAAAAAAACAAAGAAAAACAAGAATTCGTGAAACTTCCGGAGCATTATAGAGGTAGCAGTGAAGCATAGGTAGCGACAGTCATAAAACTTCCAGGGGATTATACTAGTTTCACTAATTAATGGACTCAAAAAGACAAAGGAATGGAGAGAATTTGGATGGTGCATTCCGGTTAACCCTTTGAAATATTTAAACATGTGACTTAGAGTTTAAAGAATATACCCACGAGGCGTCCCAAGCAGATAGCTCAAATTTTATGACAAGCTTCTCCAAATTTGGTGTAGTTGCTAGCATATTTGCTATAGCAGGAAAGCTGAATTCACGAATGGGCACGTGTAGCGTCAGAGACTTGCAATTCAGCAACGAATCCTGCACATCTTCTACCTTCAAAGGCAACATAACCTAACCACATCAATAGCTAAAGTCAGAGCACCAAAAAAAGGTTTGCAAAGGGTAAAGTATAATTGGATTGATAGAATATAGATTAAACTTCTCTTGAGTACATCACAAACCAATACTTCTTGTCTCGTAGAAATCCCATCAATATAATCCCCAAACATCCATGAGCTTTGTTAGGATAATGTCCACTATCCTAAGTGAAAAAACTACTTGGAATAGATAATGTCCATTAGGAAACAAGATGATTATGCTCACCTGAAAGCACCAAGCACCGAAAAGAATTTGAGTTGCATTCTGCAGCTTGAAAAGCAATTCCTTTAACAGGCGGCAATCTGATTTGGCTGGACCGAAATCTAATTCAGCTTTAACTAAGGACGGTGCTTCGATAATTCGTATTGACTTACAAAAATAAGCACTTCTCACACGTAAAGACAGCAAACAAGGAGTCGAAATCTCCAAAGGGTAGTCTGCCCAACAAGCATCAATCACCAACTCTCTCAAACTTCTCGATTGTATTCCTTTTACACTCCTGCATCCTATCAAATTCAAGTGTTCAAGAATGGGGCTGCCCATCAAAATCTTCTGAAGCACATCATCACTCACGTTTTGAATGGACAAGGACTTAAGCGAACTCCAACTAATACTATCGCTGGATGAGAAACGACAGCCTCTCAAACATAGCTTAGTCAAGGAAGAGCAATGATTAAGCAATGGAGACCATGTGTAATCCTCCCACCAATTATCCCACCCGCAATTATTCAAGTTGAGAAAAAATTCTTCCACTTGATGATCAATTGCAAAGTGAATCCAGGAATCAATGTTAGAGTGGTAGTATTCCTCCTTTATGTCAAGATGGAATTTTTTCACCTTACGCCACATATAGCGCATCAAAACCGTGTCCACAAATGAATCATCGTAAGACCAAACAGAGAACCTGAGATCCAAGACAGTGGTCCAGACAAATTGCCACCTTTTCGAGAAAATACAAGTTTTGACGACATCCCTCGTGGGCAAAAAGGAGAAGATATGATGGATTAGGCAATCGGGTAAGAGACTAATGTAATCCTCACAATTTTTTTGGCCTCTGGTCTGCGTCAAAGTACCTGTCATGGCTCATGAAAGAATTCTGGGGTTTCTGTTTTTCTCTATTCAGTGAAACATGGACTTTTGTGTGATCGCCCTAATAGTTGAGATTGCTTCCTTAGGTTATAGTTCAGGCTCATTGTTTCGTACCACAAGAAGTTCAAAATTCTCTGCTATACTTAATTTGGAAATTCTTTTATCCTTCGAAATCTCCCCAAAAATGGGAAAATAATTATATGCATCCAACTCTACATGACTAAACCTACTGAATTTTCACTAGATAGATGTAATCACCTTTGATGGTTTCCATATTTGAACAGTTTCCTTCTATTTAGTTATTTTCTATAGGAGTATCTAGCATAACTATAATGGTGAGCTTCCAAGCACAACTCTTAGATATATTAAAATGGGCAATTGGACTATAAAAAGGAAAATAATGAGGTTACACTATAAAGGGAAATCACATTAGAAAAGCAGTGTGATTATTCAAGGAAACGTATCTGAGTTAATAATATTAAAAAAATAATTAATTTATGAAGGATCCAACTGCAATTTTTAAAATAGTGGATATTTTTCTCTTGCCAAAAAGAAAAAAATGATGGATATTGTTACTAAATTAATAAAAGGATAAAGAACTAAAAAAAGTAGGAAAACGAATATCGAGTATAAACTTTCGATTATTTTAGGATTTTGTAATTGATTAACATAGTTGACGATGGAAAAATGTTCATTATGTTGACACTAACAATACAACCTAAAGGGGTGAATAGATTGTATGGAAACTATGAAGAACTTTTGCAGAAGAAAACGAATTAAACTTCAAATAGCAGCAGAAATAGATTGTAGGTATCGGGTGCGTGTGCTACTAATAAATAGATGCTGATAGTGAACAGATAATACTGATAATAAAGAGTTAGAAGATAACACAAAGAGATTAATAGTGGTTCGACTTATAACTAAGCCTATATCCACTCTCTACAACTAAAGTCCATAACAATGCCGGAATCCACTAGTAATTTTTAAGACAAGTTACAATCAATAAGTGTTGTTCCAATCATCCGATAGATCACACTATTAGAATAACCACTATCTTATACTTGTACACTTGACTTTATCATGATTAAAACTCAGTAGCATATCATAGAGATATTATTAGCAACACACAACAACTATCAACAATAATAGAGCAAAGAAGACACTCAAATCACTAGAAAGTAATCTAATAGCCTTTGCCCAGGCTGCAAGGGTCGATCCCTCGTTAGAGTTGAAGAGGGCGCACCCTTGCCTGTGGTTGGTGAGGTGGCCGACAAAGGCCGCGACACCCTCGCCTGAGGTCGGTCGCTGGCCATGGCCAAGTACTAGCCACAGGCCAAAAAAGAAAGAGAAGGAAAAAAAACAAGAAAGGAAAAAAGAGAAAAACAAAAAAAAGGGAATTTTTAAAAAATATAATTTAAAAATTATTTAAAATGTCCATGTAAGTGTCGACCATCTGCCGGTCATGCCACGTAGGATGGTCAGCGCCAACGTCAGTAATTTCCAGCTTAAATCGGCCAGATAGACTAAATTGGTATCAATGTGAAAATGTTTAAAACTAAATTAGTCCAATTGAAATGTTTAAAACTGAATTGATATCGATGTAGGTTTAGGATTTTTTTGGTACTTTTCCCAATATGAGTCCAACACAGTCAAAGAAATGACAAAAGTGATGACATTTTTAAAATCATACTTGACAACAGTTATATAATAACACGGATGAAAATTAGATATAAAAAATGTTGAAACCTAAATTTTTGCCGGCACGTCCAACATGGACTTTGTAAAAAATTATGTATACATGAAAATTAAAACAAAAGTAAAATAGCTAGCGCGTATAAATCCACGCTCATAACATCATTTTTCAATTTTTCAAGGCCAACCCATCAAACCACAAGTAGATTACTCCAGCTCCTTCACCAGCTGAACCACCTCCAACGGCCATGGAAGACAACTTCTAGAGCTGGGTGGGCAAGCCGGGTAGACAACTAAAGTGTGTTCTGTCGTCCAGAGGCGTCAAATTGCGAGGCGGCCTTTGTCGCTGAGTTCAAAAATCGGCTCCACCTTCCACTTCAATCGCTATGCGATATGCACTATATGTAAACGTGGAGAGAGCGGAAGATATGCTTAGAAAAATCCTCATAGATGGCCTGCTCCTCATGACGCTCAGGCGACGACGGAATTGTCAATCAATAGTCACACTTACTAGGTCGTTTCTTTCCTGATGAAACTATAGTACTGGATTTCGATTTATTTTCAATTTGCCTCTCGACCTATGCTAAAGTAATATACCAACACCTATATTACACTAAAAATATGCCAAATGCATCATAACTTTAATTAAAATAACATATATAATTTTGACCTTAAATATTCGTAAGATGTGATTTATCACTAAAATTCAAATTTATCACTAAAATAACAACAAACACGTCGATTAACCACAAGTAGACAATAATAATAACACAAATTCTACCATAATATTACCTAAACATGCGATTTTGAACTTGAAACTTGTACTAAGCTAAAAGTGACTGTCTCGGGACTGCCACAATCATTATCAGAGCCAAATAAGGACTCGAGGAACGCTGTTCAGCGCACTAAAGCGGCTGAACAGTAGGCTTCCAGAGCTTATATGGGCTCTTAGTGGGCCCAATCGCACCCAGAAATGCTCCGAATGACATGTCAAAGTATTAGCGACGTGCCCCGGGACTCTCAAATGGGTTGTAACGGGTCGCAGAGTCCGCTGCACAGCGCGTCCAGGGCGCTGGACAGCGGGATCTCAGTGCTTGTTTTCGGCTCGAACGGGCTCATATGGTTGTGGAATCCTAAGGCCTAATATGGCGTAGTATGACATTAACAACACGAACGAGCGCTCCATATCAATCTAACTATATGCTAAACATATATGTGTAACTTCATGGATAACATAATACAAAACCTAACTATAACGCCACGTTAACATACTACGAAGATGAAATGCCATAACCAGTGTATTGGGCTCGTGTCGCCCGCAAGAATGAGGCAAGCCGTCGTACCTCCACTTTTAACTCTGGTTTCACATGATATCCTCGACGAACTACATACAAATAAGATGGGCTCCCAACTTAAGCGAGGACGAGACAAAGCGAGGCCGGAGAAATCGAGGAGAACTCTTCGACCGAGAGTTGAGAGCGGGTGTTGGCGAGGATGAGAGCCGAGAGAGTCGCCTAGCGTGGCGGTGGTGGAACTGAGAATGACGAGACGAGGGGGAGATATGAGAAAGTTGGGTGGTGGTGATGAAGATGATTGGACCCAAAGATGAAAGTGAAGTGGAGATGATGGAGTTTGTGCATTTAATAGGAAAAATGAGATGAAGAGAGAGTGGTCACGGCAAGGATGAAGAGAGGGTTAGGATTGGTGGGACTTCAAGTGCGTGTGTCTCGGTTAGAAAGGGATCAAGAGAGCGAGAGGATTTTCTAAAGAAGAGAGAGGAGATGACCCGAATATGGGAGAGGAGAGAGGGAGTCAAGGAGAGGGGAAGGAGAGAGTGCGGTCCTCCAATTGACATCACCCATGCATGTACTGTTTGTCATGACCGAGAAAATATTTAGGGATTTGTTACTACCACATCAGCTGCAGATATATGTTTTTTACTCAACAAATTGACACGTATTTGATGATATGGAATAAAAGTAAAACAAACAAAAAACTACATCTGTTCACCCATGGAAGCTTCCCCTCCATCATGCTCTTGGTCGCCACGGTCTTCCTCCATCGTCTCTTGCTGCTGGCTCTATCGTCCCTTGGATTCGACTCGTGGTCGGCCCCATCAACAGCCAAGCCATCCCTCCATTGTCATGGCGGCTCGCAATCGTTTTTCGTCCAGATCTGAACTGGAGTTGTATCTCCAGATCTGGTCTCGTCCATGGCGACAAGTAAGGTCAAGATCTCGAAGGCCATGACAAAGCTCAATTATCAAGAAAAAAAATAGAGGAAATCGCTTCTTGCGGTTATACCTTGCAGTTAGCTCGTGGTTAGCCATGGCAACGGGCGAGGTTGAGATCTCGAAGGCACGGACAAAGCTCAAATATTGAGATCTATCGTCCATTGCCGCCAGCTCGTGGTTGGCCATCGATGAACAACAGAGACGATGCCTGAATGCGTTCAATGATGGATGAATAACGCCAAAGACGGCCATGGATGAGAGCTGACAATTTCGGCCATGGATGGCCAGATCTTGAGACAGAGAAAACAAAGGAAGCCAGCCATGCTCACTTGGATGCAGCGATGGTCGACTTGGTCATGGTGCCGGCGATTCTGTTGGTGGTGATGACGAGGGAGGAGTGGAGATTGGGCGGCTATGAACCGAGGAGGAAGAAAAGAAAGAGTTGAGAGGTGAAGGGATTTTTAAATTTTTTATTTAAATTCCACATCAGCTACTAATATAGATTGATGAATAGGTGTCAATATATTGTAGATATGAGTGAAAAATAAGCCACATATGATTTTTAAATTGTTATCGCCACATATGATGTTGATGTGGCGATAACAAATCACTGAATATTTTCTCCTAGGACCTCGTCGGACATGCCTTGGTCTCTCGTACTACGTAGGATGAGGGTTTTAACCATATTTGACTAGAGAAATGGAGGGAAAGAGGAAGGAGACTGGCGCCTGGCCGAGCCAGGTTCTCCGGACTCGAATTCGCCATGGCCCTCCTTTTTGTCCTATTTTTGGCCTACATTAGGTTTGGAAGCTTGATGGGCCAATAAAAATTAGGCTTAGCGAGCTTGGATTGAGCCGAAAAAGTCCGATTGGGGTTTGTTGCAACAAATCAGATCGGGTTGGTGGCAGTGATTGGCTTCTGGGCCTCCATCGGCCAAAATTTTGGTTGCCAGGCCCGAGGTCTTGAAGCTATGATGTCTCTAGTTGAAAATTGCAGAAGAGGTCTAGTGGAGGAAATGAACACAAGATGAAATGACGACATTTTCGATTTGGAATCGAATTTGCAGATGACAAATTCGGCTCCCAATCATTGCGGAATGTACTGATGACCTATGCAATATGAACTTGGACAATGGGCCATTCTGGCTCTAAAGGTGTATGATGGAATTGCGGGCAAAATTCGGGTGTCAACATCACTCGGTACTCTAACATATAGACCGATCTTTAGGATTATCCACCCAAACTTGCAGTCATAATCTGAACTTAACCCTATTGTCTCTAGTAGTTGCCTCATATAAGGTGTTTCCAATCTTCTTTAAAATGTATTTTTATCTTTTGTTTGGATGCAATAACCACGAGATACAATGTTTGAATCAATTTTTGACTTTTTGGTCTATAAATTGTTCTTTTCTAATTATAAATTAATACATTTCAAAGTTAATTAATATAGCTACATCTTCTTGTTAAGGGTAATATTTTTCTTAGTAAAACGATATATTCATCCATATAAGAGTTGCATATTTTCTTGAAAAACAATTGTTAAATATGGAAAATATAATTTACATGTGCAACTCTTGTATTTACCTAATAGTTAATTATATAGACAAAAAAAAAATTCCGCATTTGCTTGTTTACTAGCTCATATAACGTTGATTCGCTCATTCAGAGACATATTAGACAATATGTATGCTAGATGAATGAGTTTAACTGTTGTTTGAGATCTTTCCGATCAATGGTAAGTGCACCTACTTTAATTTATAATAAGAAGGATTAATGTCACAAAAAACCCTAAACTGGTACACTTATAATAAATTTACCCAAAACTAATTTTTTTACCACAAAAAACCCCAAACTGGTACACCCATCAACTGTAGCGTGTCATTTAACTCAGTAATTTGATAGTAAAATTTAACGGAAACTGACTGAAAGTAAATTTATCACAGGTGTATTATTTTGGGATTTTTGGTGGTCAAAAATTAGTTTGGGATAAATTTGTCACAAGTGTACCGATTTAAAGTCTTTTGCGGTATTAACCCTAATAAGAAAGAGATGGGAGTCCGATATAATGAACTATAACTTTCATTAGCATTTTATCTACGTACTTTAAGGTTCTATTAGAAACATGTATTAGGTACTTTCAATATTGTGCTATTGCCATTGACGTTTCCATCCATCAAAACATTGACAATCTAACGGTCTAGATTTTTATATCTCAAATAGTTAAGTAATCATCGACGGGGTGTATATGGTCGCGCTCCTAGAGAAAATAAATTCTAACAAACCCTGCCGTTGATAATATTTCTTAGTATGGGAACGCATTAAATGCAAATTGTGCGAGTATATCTACATCAATAATGAGCATGACCAAGTATTTACCTATTTATAGAGCCCTTCATCTCTTGTTGCAGCATGCCTTAGCAATTTTTTTCTTTCATGCTAGTCCTTCAAGTGCTTCCAAGCAACACTTATGTGATGCCTCATCTTTGAAAACCTTTTTTGACATGCATCCAATGATCATGCCTCACATACTCCAACCTTACATGTAAATAATTATCGGATCAGTGATCTACCAGAAAAATGCTTCATCCTTGGTAAGATCTCTCTCTCTCTCTCTCTCTCTCTCTCTCTCTCTCTCTCTCTCTCTCTCTCTCTCTCTCTCTCTCAAATGATAATTATAATATTGTGGATTTTTTTTTTCTAAATGACAGGATTAGGCGCTGAGATGGCGAGGCGCTCCTCTGTTGCTGGAACGCCATTCTCCTCAGCCTAATTCACATGAAGCCTCTTATCGGGAAGAAGTCTCAAGCCATTTTCTTGGGAGTGTCCCTCGGTGTGAGGTTTGCCTAGGTTTCCATGCTGGCTTCTGTAAAGTTAATGGAGAAACCAGCTCTCCTTGCAAACTTCCATGGCGTTTAGACAAGAACAGAAGAGCTAAATGGGCAATGTCTCATTAGCAGATTATACAATTCCCACCTAACCTACCATATATTCATCATATTTCTTGGCACGGGAATGCATTGAATGCAAAATATGCAAGTGCATCCACCAATAATGAGAATGACCAATTCTTTTCCTATCTATGCAGCTTTGATCTTTTGATACCCCAAGCTTCAGTATGTTATTCCACTTGAGCCACAATCTTACCACTCTCCTTATATATGACCATCTCTATAAACAAATGACGAAGTTGTTCTATTGACGTCTACAGTCTTTTACTCAAGAAACCTATTGAAACATCTAAATTGTTATCCGTTTGTTTCTTTAAAGATTATGGTCCACATATGAAAAGCACACCTAATTTCAATAGAAGATGCATCATCATGCGCTCCAACCCCGAAAAGTCGGATCATTGATCTACTAGAATAAGCTATCTCACTTCGTCTTCTTTAAGGGTAAGAATTTCCAGGAGTAACATCTTTTTAGCTTAACAATTTTTGTCTTAATTTAACTAAATATCGTTCCTACATGCAATCTGGATGATTGGTCTAACTTTCCATCACTCACTAATTGCAGAATTGTGGTGCCTCACTCTTAAGTGGATTAGCGGTAAGAGATTGCCTGAGGACACCATTGAGAGGAAAAGAAGTTTTGAAGTCTAATCGAGGGTGACGTGGTTGGCGACCCTCCACCCTAGCTCCTTACCATGCCTACAGCCAATTCTCCTCCCGAATCACCCTCCATTGAAGGCAGGGAACTTTGCACAGGTTCTATGTTGTCCCAAGGAACTCCAATTTGTAAAGCAAACTCCATCTCTAATGGAAAGATAGAGGAAGATAACTTAGGGCCTGCTTTAGGGTGAATAGTTTCGCTTTCAATCATCACATGTAAAATCAGGAAGAGCTCGGTGTAAGGAGTGAGCTTCCCATAATTGTTCGCCACTCAGAATTTACATTTGCTACACGACATTCATCTATTTTTCCCGTATTATGTGCATATCTCTAATAAAGTTGGTTCTAATACTTTCTGTGTCGCTAATGAAACATGTAATATGAATGTGGAGCCATAGTCAAGTTAATCTTGTGATAGTAGCATGACCCCGAAGCAATGGCAAACTTGGAATATCCTTTCAGTCATACTTTTCTCTAATCAACAATATCCGACGTGATCCTCTACTAATTATCTTGCTTAGAAGTCCCATATATTTTTATGATTAATTCAAAAATTTTGTCGTATGAACAAAGCAATATACTTGAACTCAAATAACAATATACATGATATCCTTCATAACTCATATTACGTAACACAAAAGAGTCCAAATTTTTGTCCTATGGAACACGATCTATCGTTCATATTGGCCCTATAGAACAAGTGAAACAGAAGAACTAAAGACATCCATTTTTCCATCGTATACTATGTACTAGCTCCATTTCCGTGTCCGCTATTTGATTTGACGAGTTTTAAGAATTAGAGTTTCCATAAGGTGAATACATGTAATCATCCGTTTACCTCTCGACATTGATTTTGCTGACTTATGAAGGAAATGTTGATATGTTAGAAGGTTCAAATAGAGATGTGATCTTATTCAAGCGTTAATTGAGATAAACTTTTTAATGGCTTAAAGAGGAGATGATGTAACATGCTTACATCGAAAGGTGAAATTCCAATTTTGATTGAACTTAAATGAAATAAGCTGTTGGTTTATAGAGAATTCTATGGATAGCAGGGTTGTCGACCACATACATCAATAAAACGCTGCAAAGAGCTATATTTTTATATGCTTGGTTCATACTATGTTATATTATATGAAAAACAACCCAAATAATAATATTGATGCAAGATCGATGAGTTTGATCGGCATTGCAAATGCGTCTAATTCAATAAGTTGGTACTTACGTATACAGTTAAAGCGTGAGTTTAACAAAGATTAACCCTTTATGACTTAGCTGCATGTAGCACCCCTTGGGTTAAGCATGGTTTACTTACATCTAATACACCATGTCTAATACACCATGTCTACAATGAATTTTTGAAATTTTGAGATTGGGTAGTGGACTTTCTTTGAGTTTGAATATTCAGCAATGAATTAATGTGCAACCCCGTTTTTGGATTGAACAATTGTGATCAGACCTACCATTTATGGTATTTGCTAGTATAGAAATGTGTATTAAATGCAAATATGCAAGTGTATCCCCAGCAATAATGAGTATGGCCAATACATTGCCTGTTTTTGACAATTCTTCATCTTTCAATGCACCGTGCTTATTTGGTCTCGTTAATTTGCCATACAATCAGCCCCTGAGTCTTTTCCTCCGAGGCAAGATGCATTTACTGTCTGGCCAAAAATATACATATTTGAAGTTTGAAGTCTAGCCGTCAATTTTCTACTGCTGTGGAATTGCTTCTATGTGATATAATATTGCTTTGGTACTCTAAACGACATCGACATCCCTATCTATTTCT